CTATTATTATTACTTAATTATAATCATTATCTTTCATCTCTTTATGTTTCATATCCTCATGATTTCATTTATAATTATTTATAATATCACTTCATTTCATTTTTATCTATCTATTACCTTCAATTATTATAACAAAAACATTTTAATCATCTCACTTCATTCATAATATAATCCGTTGATAACTTTTTAGTTTTGTAAAGCTTTCTATTCGCAAACATAATCGTTTATACTTATGATCCATATTATGTAAATCCAACATTATAATCTTTCTATTACATCATCATGTTTATTCCTTATTCATATATACTTATGGAACAAAACATTTTTATATGTATGATTGTACAGCTTAACAACAAATTCATTGAAAAACAGATCTGTTTGCTGAATTTAAAATGAAACTTTCTTCATTCTATTCATTCTTTATATACTTTATACTCAATTTAAAATGATATTCAATACGTCAAGGTATAAAGAGTGAATTATTTTACTTCCATACACATAGTTCCATTTATCATTTTGAAAAGAGCAAGAACAAACATTCTAGCAGAATAGCATGAATTCATTTGTATTTCGTTGGTTCTCGTCAGCTGTTTACAATCTGTGATATTTAAAAATCCTAATTACATAATGGGTTTAAATGACTTACATGAAAGAGTTTGATTGTAAGTTATATTGAAGACATATTCGTACAGTATAGCAAGGAGATAAATAAATGTAATAGACTGAATATTGTAAATATATACCTTATGTAAGAGAACATTGTGACAACAGTTGAAACGGCTAGAAACAAGTAAACATTGATTGGAATAAAATGAGTAGAGTTCAGTTGATAAAATAAGATTATTAACTTGAAAGATAGTTGGAGTAAGACCCAATGATGTGATAAGTGCAAGAAGGAGTTAAAAGAAAAAGCAAAAAAATATTAAGATACAGCGAAGGAATATTAGTCACCAAGGCAAGAAAAGATTAATAACCATCTCCTTTTGAACACATAAATCAGGATTCTGGCATCTGATAGCAACTGCTTCAGCAAACTTCAGAAGACTGGAGTTTGGCTGCTCACTAATCACCTTGAATGATTGTAGGGTATCGACCTGATGTCCTGTATCAAGATGTTTGGTGATTGTACTATTTAGAGTCTTTCTTTCTCTTGTTCTGACGCTTTTTGGAATATGTTTAAAAAATCTGATATATTCTCTCCTTCCTGTTCGGCCAATGTAGCTGTTTTGGTAGGTACACGTAAATTTATAGATACAATTGGCGGTAACATGAAAAGGATGCTTATCAACCTTTGATTGAGTTACTGAACATGTTGTTTTATACAGAATTAGAATTTTGGCAGCCGGATAAGTTCTGGCTAGCGCAGGCGGATTGCATGCTGTTTATTGTTGCAGACAATAATCGTGTCATCAACATATCTGGAATATTCCGTCGTTTCGTTAATCGCCTGTTTAGGCACCATGTTTTCAAGATACCCCATAAAAATATCTGCCAGAATTAGAGCTAGTGGACTTCTTATTGTTACGCCGTCGATTGGACGATTTATGGTGTTATCAAACTGTAAATGAACGTCTGTTGTGCACATTAATAGTGGTTTTTTGAATTCTGAGGCTGGTAAAGGTAGAAGATCATAATTCTGACAAATTATATCATTAGTTTCAAGAAGTGGTATATTGGTGAACAAGGATGTTACATCAAAAGTAACCATCAACTTATCGGCAACATTCGTACGATTTAGTCTATCAGCAAACTGGAATGAACCTTTTAACGTATATGTTGCTAAGCTCTGACGGACCGGTTCTAGTTTTTCTGCTAGCCAGCGTGCAACTCTGTGATACGGTGAGTTGGTCATTGATAGGATAGGTCTAAGGGGAACGTCGTATTTGTGAACTTTTGGTAAACCATACATATGAAGCAGACGTGAGCCACGTGGTTTTAGATCATTATAAGTAGAATTACCAATCATTTTCCTTTTTAGAAGTTCTTTAAGCATGCCTGTGATTCACTTTTCTGTTGATTCAGTTAAATCTTTTTTTGGATTTATCTACATTGAATCCTAGTTGGTCGTCTAGGATTGGCTTCATCTTAGTGACATAATCAACTGTATTCATTAGGACGACATCTGAACGTTTATCCGGTCGTAAAATCATCACCTCATTATTTTGCTTGATGTTTCTTAGAGATATTAGATGTTCTTTGGATAGGATATTCGACGTTGGTTTCGATGATACGAAATATTGGTTAGCAATATCAACTTACTTTGATTTGAACCATTCTTTCTTTTCCTCATTCATTGGCTGCAAATAATTTAACTGGTCAAATAGATTTTCGAATTGAGCTACTGTATCAATCCTGTCAGTATTTGTTTTTGTTTTTTGGTATATGAAATTTTAGTCCCAATGATAAGGCTTCTGTTTCTATATTATTATGCTTCATATTTGATAAATTGTAGATAAACTTCGAAGGGTTTTCCAGAAACCCTAAACATGTAAGTCATTTAAACCCATTATGTAATGATGATGTTTAAATATCACAGACTGTAAGAAGCTGACGAGAAACAAACGAAATACAAATGAATTCATATTATTCTGCTAGAATGTTTGTTCTTGCTGTTTTCAAAATAACAAAATAAAATCTGATTATCTCTATTTGAAAACAGAATGATTTTATTGTTTAAATAAATTTTGTTTTGTTTTTCAATCTGCTTGGAATATTTATTATTTTTGTTTAAATAAATAAAATCTTAAATAATATAAAAATGAATGGATATTTATGATTTTAAGGATATGCATGAATAAACAAATTACAATAGTGTAAATGAATGGAATAGATTGTTGTAGTAAGAAATATGATTGAATAAATAGATGAATAGAGAAATTAACTTTTAATCATAATTACTAATATGATTTTATAATTAATTTTAATTGTTTGTTTTTCGTTTTTTTCTGTACGAAGTTCATTTCAAAAGATTTTTGAAAATTTCACTAGTTAAAATCAGGAGTCAATTGAAGCTAGATCAACATGGAAAACCTGGAAGCACTGGAAGGCTGTTTCTTCCTAGTATGAGATTCCTCATCAGTGTGCATACACAATTCCTCCATCCGCGCCAGCGCTTAACCATTAGACCACTAAGCCGGCATCCAACGGTGTTAATGTCTACGAATTTTAGCCACCGTACACCATTGTCTTCAATGAGTTAATATCTCACAACAGGCCTGATTGAACTCCACCGGTCACGGCTTCTCACTAAAACTCCAGGAAATATTGAAAGACAAATTGTTCTGTGTGGTGTTTAATGTTATGGAAATAATTCAAGTTCAAATGAATAAACATGGTGGATTGCTTTTGAGGTTGAGTGTTCACACACGAGACTTATATGTTTTGGGTTGAAATCTCGCTAGACGAGATTGTGGATACGCACTGTTGAGTCGTCTCACAATAGAACTAGGCGGCCGTACAGTGCTTCCAGGTTTTCCATGTTGATCTAGCTTCAATTGACTCATGATATCAACTATAGAATGACGAAGTATAATTTATAAATAAATCTCAGCTGTTATAGTCAGTAATTATTTGTATTTTATTTAAGATTTAGATTTATTTAGTACACAAATTTTGATCGGAATAAATATCTTATAATACAACGAATGCGTTCATCATGATTAATGATTTGATTTGAAATTAGTATAAATAAGTAAAAAGTGTAATGAATATACGAAACTAATGAAATGAGTTAAATTATTTAGGAATTTTATTAATAATGACTGATTTCAGTCAAAAATACCATTGATAAGCAGATAAATCTATCAAAACATTTCATTTGCTTAATAGTTGGATTCATGAGTCAATTGAAGCTAGACCACCATCGAAAACCTGGAAGCAGTGGACGGCTGTTTCATCCTAATATAGAACTCCTCAGTAGTGCTCATCCACAATACCACCTCGAAGGATTCTTATCCAGGACCTATAAGTCTCGCAGGCAAGCGTTTAACCATTAGATCACTGATCCGGCATCCAACGTTTCTAACTTCAACCAATCCAGTCTTTGGTTATTGAACACTTCAGCAATACTATTTTATGAGCATTAACTTGAAACGTTATAAATTTATTGAATAACATTGAAATTACTAACCGATCTCAATTGAACAAACAGTAGAATTATGGAAGCATTGTTCGACCGTTTCGCTCTGGTGTGAGACTGTCCAGCAGTGGGTGATCCATGATCTCACAATTAGGATATTTCTAAATGCTCTGTTTTTTTGTCAATCATATAGTTTCTACGATCTGTATTATGAAGGCTTTGTCTGGTTATCTTGTATGGTAACAGGCCATTAGATATTATGTTTACTAGTCATTAATTTAAACTCACACATAGTGTTTTGCACAAGAAGACTTTTAACCATATATACTTTCACTCATTTTTCTACATGTTTATTTATGTCTCCACAGTTGCATCTAATTGTATGATAATGTTTTCCATGATTAGTAAAATGTTTCAGACTCATTCTAAAAGGATGTTCACTGCTTTAAATTTTCATTCAATAATCATCGGATGTCAAACATTCAAAAAATGTTTGTATAAAATAAATGAAAAGCCAATATATGAATATTATGGAAATGTCAACGATTTATAATTACCATTGATTAAAATGTAAGAGATTTTTTATTCTTCATCTCTAAATGTTCGGCTAATTTAACGATGTAAAGTATAATTAAGCGCATTTCTACAATAATTAACAATGATTCTAAATGTAGGTACAATGAATGTAAGTCCCGAAAGTATTAAAATGACATAAAGTGATTGAAGATATTTAGTTTACACTAGTTGTGATCATTTCTCGTCCCTAAAATAAATTTTCAAGTTTATCTTCCTTAGGTTAAAGAATTTCTTAATTCTAACAATAGTACATGGGATCAATCAGAAATTTGTAGGCTTAAACGCTGCCAATGCTCTGTAGACTGAGACATATATTCTTAGTATAGGAGTTGTGGAGATTATTAAGTTTTTGATTGAGATCATGAACCAATTGATGTTAGACCATCACAACTGAAAACCTGGAAGCACTGGACGGCCGTTTCGTCCTATTGTGGGAATCCTCAGCAGTGCACATCCACGATCCCGCGAGCTGCATTCGAACCCAGTGCCTTCGGCCTCACGCGCGAACTCTTCATCAACTGGACCACAATTGGATGCCGTCCTCGTTTTCAATTGTGATGGTCTAACATCAATCGTGTCATGATCTCAATCAAAAACATATATTCTTGCTTTTACACTGTTATAATCCATATGAATTGTATCATTTAATTTATAAGTTATAACTACTAAGACTGTAAGTAATAAGTCCAATTTTTTTATGAATTTCACTTTAATTTCAACCATTTAAAATAAGTGATAACTGCGGTAAGTTTAGCCAGACAAACAAATTCTCCGTCAAGACAATGCTCGGTTAAGTGTCATTGCCACGTTTTGACGTGATAACTTCGAATAGATTGAGAATTCGTTAAATTGTTGCTTATAAAGAGAATATATTTATAATATCTTCATGAGTAGTTTTTCTTTTCATTGGGATGTTACAAATAACTACTTGATCACCACTGGTTGCAACAGTCAATAGTAGCACACATTATAGTCTCCACATATTACAATCGTATAGTAAATAAATTTGATGGTCACTTACGTAGATATTTACATAACAAAATGTATGATGTTGTTCTGATTCGATGCATTCATAATATGTAATTAACTACCAGATTTCTACGAAAAAACACATCATATAAATGATCCAGGAGAACGGAAAAAGTAAGTCATACAGGCTTCCGTTTCACTCAATGAGATTGCAGGTAATTTTAGTTGTAAATGCATACGACCAACTCATTATCAAATTATTTCCTAACATAAATTCACTAAGAATAATATATATGATTAATGTATCCCAACTGCAAAAAATAATTGCGAAGTCATAGCCAGCTATAGGGTTAAACAATTTCAAATGAGATAAATGCTACTTTTAGCTACCATTAGTTTTCGTTGTTCAACCATTTGTCATTAAGCGTAATTGCATAAGCCATTCAATTACATACTGAAGTGATTAATAATTTAGAAAAAATGTTTGCCAATTTAGTATAACCTTTAACTTTTATAAAGGGGTACTAGATTTCCGATTGCTTTATACCCAGACACATTATCATACTAAATATTTGATAAACCGATAATCCTACCCTTATCAAGCTTTATTCTAATATTCAGTAACATTTTTATGCCTATATGAACATACTGAACTAATGAATCAGTGATAATAACGAAACAGATTGCATTCTGTCGGTAGAAATGTGTATAAAAATTTCTTCCAGATGTCGATGTACACATTGCTTGAGCTTTGCATACATTTTAACAACAGTTAGATGGTTTGAAAGTAGAGCTATGAAGACATCAAAAACTAAGGAACTAGAATTTATACATGATTTGCTGACTGAGTTGGCTTTGAGATTTTCCTGCATAAAAACTTTGCTATTATTGAACAGAAAACTAGTGGCATAGATGGTCGATAAGAAGCTGCCACATGTATCCAGTATATCTACGAAACCACCTCCATCTTCAAAGAAAGCTTCATTGATTGCTCTACAAGACAACTGAACCAACAAGTCAGTGAACACCATTCCTTTTGGTTGAGAAGGAACATAATCAAAACAATACTCAGTTCAGTCCTGTTACGCTCGATCGATAGCGGTCATATGGCGGATAGATATAAATCATTAAGAATGATTTACAGTTTGCCTATTACTCTTTATGGAGTTCAACCTGATGTCATACATATAGCAGCATTTATAAAGATTTAAACTAACAACTCAAGTATGTGTATTCATGATACATTTCTAACACCCTTATATCTTTGTTCCAATTAAGTTTAGCAAACAATTTTACTGATTTTTTTCCACAGCATTTGCTCGTTTATTTTTCTTCAACCGTTTTTATCAAAAATATTCTTCATTATTTGGTTATTTTAACATTTCTTATTACATAACGTTAGCAACTTCTTTGATGAATGTTATTTCAAGTCTTTGATATAGATACTATTATAAAACACTAATTCAAGGCTTCACTGTTCTGATCATAAAGAGTAAATCATTTAATCAATTTATCAGCTTGTACTTTTCCACTTATATTTACTTATATCATCTATTTCGTTGTTATCACTAACTTATAAACTCCTTTATGAGTATCTCATTAAAAACAATATTGAGGCTGCAAGGGACTAGGGATCTCAATAGTGCAATAGCTTGGTATTTGCTTGACACTGGGGATAATATTGATATCTTTCAGGCTTTTAAAATTATTAGCAGACCAAGAAGTACGGCTCCCTTTGTTTTGTTGAGGCGATCGCTATAAAAAAATTTAAACTGGATCTATGTTTCCAAAAACAGACAGTAATAAACTTATTCTACCCTGGTAATCCAATTTTTGTGTGTCGATTTTTGTCTTTTTTGTTTTTGGTTATTAGCTTTTTTCTTCTCCCATCACCGAATTCTTAAACCATTCTTTCACTCATACATTTCCGCTTACTTGATTCTCTTAAATTATGTGAACTCTTCAAATTCTATTCAGTTATTACGTAGCCCATCTTATTAATTTTTTAATTCCATGACTCCTTTATTACCTCTATAATTATCAGACAATTTATCTTATGTCTCTGAACTCCACTGTTACACCACCCCTCCCTAATGTATCTTCGATTCTAACACCTAATAACCTCTGACCTGTTCTTGCATATATATATATATTACGATTACTATTATTATTGATAACCTTTGTCATTCCAATTATTAAGTTTTTGACTTAGATCATAAACCGATTAATGTTAGACTACCATTGAAAGCTTGGAAGCACTAAACGGTCTTTTCGTCCTATTGTAGGACTCCTCAGCAATGCGCATCCACGATCTCGCTCGCGGAATTCGAACTCAAGGGCTTCGGTCTCGTGCGCGAACGCTTAATTTAATGGACCATTAATCCCATATCCAATGGTGATAGTGTCAAACATTGACCAATCCACGAAATTGCGCGACCATCTTCCATTGTACTATACTATTTCTTATCTCAATGTAAAATTCTAATATGTATTTGGTTGTAAGCAGCTGATGAGAAACCACGACATACAATGAATTCATATTATTCTGCATTAATATTTGTTTTGACTTTATTTAAATTCATAAAGAGAACTAATTGTACACTATTATTCACTTATATATTTGTTCTAATTTCTATGATGGGAATTTTTGATAATATAAAACACTAATTGATTTAATTTAAAAATTCACATCAAGAAAATATTCTGTGAATTTTATCAGCTACAGTAATAATACAAAATTAATTCTCATACTGAATGATGGATTTTAATGTTGTGAATTGAGGAATTAATTTTTTTTTGTTATTGTTTATAGATATTGAAAATGACCATTATGAAATATTCACACATCAATTCAGTTACTTATTCATTAAATTTATGAAATGAATAATAGAAGAGAAGATATGGGATTTTCAAATTATGTTTGTATTTCATATGATACAAAAGGTATATAAAGAGTTAAGATAATTTAAACTAACGAGTATTGTTTTTTTAAAAAAATACAAAATAAACAAATTGAGGGTAATTTTAATAATAAATATCTATCTTTTTGTCATTTTCGCCAAATCATCAATAAGCTATTTATATCATAACTAAAAGAAAACAAAGTAATCAACTTTTATTTATTTAGAAATTTCTATAGTTGAAATCATGCGTCAATTGTAACTAGACCACCATGGAAAACCTGGAAGCATTGGACGGCCGTTTCGTCCTAGTGTGGGACTCCTCAGCAATGCGCATAAACGACCCCGCCATCCGCGAGATTCGAACCTAGGACTTATCAGTCACGCACGCGAACGCTTAACCATTAGACCACTAAACCGGGATCCAACGGTGTTAATGTCTAACTTCGAACAATCTACTAAATTGAGCCACCGTACACCATTGTCTTCATTGAGTTGATATCTCACAACAGACCTGGTTGAATTCCACTGGTCACGGCTTCTCACTAGAACTTCAGGAAATGCCTTTTGAAGTCAGTCACTATTTCTTTATTATGAGAAAGCACTTAAATAAGTCACTAGATCAGTTAACTAATAAAAAAAACAGCACTAAACCAACCTCATAAATTACGGTTTTTTTCATTTTGTATGTTTTAAAATTTATTTAAATGAACACAACAACAACAAAAACAAACAAACAACCAAGTGACAAATTCATTTTGAACATACACACACAAAAAAAAAAGACGACACAAATAATAAAAATAATTCTATTACCATCTATTATTTATTTAAAATAGTTATGAAATGATGGAGTGATAACAAGAAAATGAGCGATAATTATTTATTATATGAGAGAATTTTAATAAATTATCAAAATGAAATTTATTATAAAATAAAGATGTGTTGAATTGGACTATGAATTGACCGACCATATTTTAATTCCTATGAAACAATGGACTAATTATAAGACAAACATAACGATTTTGTACTGCTTTTTTGTTGTTGTTGATATTACTATCTGAAATAGCTGTGGCATGTAATAAATCATAATAATAATTATTATATATAATCATAATGAAGATATCGTTTATTCATTTATTTGATAATTATTGAATGAACGGTTAGTAAATTAGATATATATGATGTCTTGTCATATTAAGAAATAGTTTACCAGATCTAGGTAATATACTAATGTAACAGATTTCGAACAACTTGATCACATATTTACTTGGTAAGGCATTTATGTATAAGAAATGAAAGTCAACTAGATGACCTGGAAGATAAATAAAAGTAAAGATAATAAGAAAAACAATATGAATCACACGACTCGAGATAATAAATCAACGTTACTAGGGTAGGTCTAAAGTGATTTGTTTTTAGCCATTCAAAAATTGTTCGAACTTCTTTATGGAAAGAGTTTCTACAAACTAATGTATTCTCCCAAACCCAGACGACTTACAAAAGCACAAAAAACGGAATTATGATTAATCTACTATGTATACGTCA